AAGGCTAATCACTCAGCCAGCAAACTTTTATTTGTGTTGTGAGGTACTGTATCTGTGTAGTGCACAAAATAAAACATCTGTTTGTGGACAGTATATCTGGTAGAGGGGAGAAGACAATATACAGTAGACCTTAGTTGACTGTAATTGGCTGCTGCATTGACCACCTCCTTAAGTTGACCTAATTTTCATTGACTGGATATGTACCACATGTACTCAATGGAAGTTCCCTAAGTTGGCCAGTTTGTTACAGTCCCTTAGGGAGCCAATTTATGCAGATACTACTGTAATTCTGAACGATGGTTCCCACTTCTATTTGGAGAATGGAATAGAGGGGTGTGAGTGGGGACAGAGGATAAGCACAAAGTGGAAATAGTAAGACCAGTAAGGAAATTTTGAAGTAGTGCAGCTGAGAGGTGACGGTGGTCTATAAATTCAGTGAAAAAAGTAGATAAGCTGAGGCTGGGCGTGGTGGCTCACATCTGTAATCCTAGCACTCCAGGAGGCCAAGGCAGGTAGATTGCCTGAACTCACAGACTAGAGACCAGCCTGAGCCAGAACAAGACCTCATTTCTAAAAGTAGCTGGGGGGAATTCTGGGAAGATGTCTGACTGGTAGCAACCTTCAGCAGAGGCTCCTGAGCAGAGGAAGAAAAACTGGACGGAATTGGACTCTATGAAGCCAAAGGTGGGGAGCTGAGCCAAGAAAGTTCAGCAAGCTGTAAATCCAAGGAAGAGCATTCAAGAAAACAAATTACAGGTATAAAGCCTATCAACTAGAGGACAGGAGACCCCTCCCCCAAGCAGGAGGCCTGCCGCAGGCTATCTGCAAAGGAGCAAGAAACAAAAGACCTCTCATTTTACCTCTCTGGAGAGGGCCGCTAAACTCCAGGTTCCTTTCTCCAGGGAGGTCCCACTTACAAACCTTGACACCACCCCACCAGCCATAAAATTGAACAGATATTTTCTCCCACAAGTCCAAACTCCCAATCCACCCTTACCCCTTACATGGAAGTCTGAAGTTCTGCCCCCCTGCAGAGCACAGAGTGTTTGGTCTTGTCTTGAGACATCTGGGCATAGTGTGGACCGCCAACCATCAGGATGGAATCTGACTAACAGGGAAGAAAGAGGGTGTGGGAAGATAGGGATACTGAGCAGGAGGAAGAGCAATCTCCTGGTTATGACTATGCCCAGCCAGTGGTGGTGTGGACCTCAGTTCATGCTGTGTCTGCGGAATGGGGTGCAGAACCCCTGGTTCTGATGGCACCCACAGCGGGAGAGTGGTCGCCCCATGTGGACTGAGTTCGGCAGACAAGGCTGGTCCCCAGCCCCTACTGGGCCTGCAAGTAGAGGCTTGCTAGGTGTGGACTGAGAGCAAGGGCATGTACCCTGATTCCAACAGAACCCTCAAGCAGTGGCTTACTGGGTGTGAACCAAGACCTAAGGGCTAGGGCATGGTCCACTGTCTCCAATGGGGCTGGTGAGCAGAGGCTTACCAGATGGTAGAGTGCAGTGCCCTGACTCTAACAGAACCTGTGAACAGAGGCTTGCCAGGCAGTGGACTGAGACTGGCAGGTGGGGCAGGTCCCCTGACTCCAACTGGTCTGGCAAGGAGAGGCTAGCTGGGTGTGGACTGAGACCCGTGGGCAGGGGCATGGCTGCTGGCTCCAACTGGGCCTGTGAGCAGAGAAGTGAACAACAGTGTAGACTGAGTCTGGTGGGTGGGAGTATGAATCCCTGGCTCCAATTGTGAGACCCTTGAACCCCTCTCTGTTGAGCAGGGTTTGCACTGCCTGAGACAATTTAATTGGAACCCGTATCTGGGGCTATCCACTCAGGGATATTCTGAGGTTGACCTTGGAAGTTCTGTAGTGGAAAAGAACTGAAGGGTAGGGGCTGTGCACCAAAACTGTATCTCTTCACAGTCGAGATTTAAACCTCATACTGTGGTTTCTTAGGATAGGGTAGAGGTTGGCTGATATCAAAACAGAACTAGTTTGTGCTGTCTCACCAAGTAGGTCCTCAGAGTCTCCGGTCAAAACTCTGAAAGGGGCCTTTGTAAGGTTGTAGGAGATAAGCCACAATTAGTACCCTAGCCCCAGCGCTTTGAATTGGAACCCCAATTCAATCTCATCTTATGAGTGCTAATAACCACATGGTGGACAACAAACAAGGTGCAGACCCAACAGAACAACTCTGGCAACATGAATAACCAGAGTAGATCAAACCCTGCCACCCCAAGAAATGACAAAGGAGATAAAACTGAAGATACCATGCATAGACAAATGGAAGCAATGTCAGAAATCGAATTCAGAATATGGATTACAGATAAGATAAATAGAAAGGAAGAAAGGATAGAAATTGAATTCCAAAGAGTAGTTCTAAAGTTGTCTCAAGAAATTAATGAATTCAAAGACAAAGTCATCAAAGAAATGGACATAATGAGAAAAGAGATAGTAGAGCTCAAGGAAACGAAAAAGTTGAGGAGCTCTAAAATACAGTGGAATCCCTCAGTAATAGAGTGGAGAAGACAGAAGAAAGGATCTCTGAAACTGAAGACAAAGCTTTTGAACATTCTGAAACACTCAAAGAGGCAGACAAATGGAGATCAAAAACTGATCATTCTCTGAGAGAGTTGTGGTATCACTCCAAAAGATTAAACATTCGTTTTATAGGAATTCCCAAAGGAGAGGAGGATGGTCCTAAAGGTACAGATGCTCTACTCCAAGAGATTTTGGAGGAGAATTTCCCAAGCACCACAAGAGATACAGAACTTCAGATAGCAGACAGTTTTAGAACCCCAGCAAGACTCAATCCAAATAAAACATCTCCTAGACACATTGTGATTAACTTTGCCAAAGTTAAGACAAAGGAGAAAATTCTGCAAGCAGCCAGACATAAGAAAAGCATCACCTGCAAAGGGAGAAATATCAGAATGACTGCAGATCTCTCAGCCAAATTGTTTCAAGAAGATGGTCATCGACCTTCAATCTCCTAAAATAAAACAACTTCCGGCCCAGGATCCTCTATCCAGCTAAACTGAGTTTCATTTGTGACGGAGAAATTAAATACTTTAATGACATAGACATGTTGAAGAAATTTGCCATAACTAAACCAGCTCTCCAGGATATTCTCATACCCATCCTCCACAATGACCAGCACAATGCTCTACCTCCAAAGTAAACTCGCCCAGAAATTTTTGAACAAAACCCAACTTCCACAGTGGTGAAAGAACTAAAAATGTCC